TTTCACATCCAGATGTTTTTACAAACTCCAATTTATAAACTCAACATCGTCAAGAGATGGTTGTTAAATTTTATTGAAGAGGTCTAATAATATTAGAATATGTGAAATAAGCACGTTATCAATCAAGTAATACAAAGAATATTTCTAGGAAAGGTACAGAGTCATCATCACATACAAAGTCTTGTACTGCTCTGTGAAGGTTAAAGAAATGATGGAGTATTTGAACATGATGGGAGATTTCTAGCTGGAACCTCCATAGTAGGTGAAGGTAGAAGCCATTTCCTTCAACATGGTTGTATCAGCTTACCACGGAGATTGCAGCCAGCTAAACTGGAATTGTGTATCTCTAGTCAACGAAACACCATTTAACATCTAACCTAAACATAGCTCTCAAATCCTTTACCCTAAATTTAGTCATGAAAATTGCAAATGTCCATGAGATTGGCTAAGTACTATATTTCTAATACATTTTTTTTTGGTACTGGAGATTGAACTTGGGACCTTGTGCTTGCGAGGCAGGCGGCAGAACCACTGATCTAAATCCATTGCCCTGCATACATTTATTTTTACACATTATCACCTCTGAAAACAGGATGTATCTTCCAATCAACGGTATCTTTCAACAGCTTGCATCCAGGAAAGAACTATGATATAGTTGCCATTACTTGGACCTGTGTGACTTTAGTCATAGTTGTTTGTGTTGTCATTACCTCAACTTTTGGAAGTATTTGGAAGTATTTTGATATAACACATGCTGAAATTGATGGGTTTATTAAAGTGTCTTATGATTCAGCATTGAGACCAAAAAAATTCTAACACAGAAATTCACAGAAATAGAGATCTGGACATATAGAGATACACTTATAATTATATTGAACAGATCATATTGCTTTATTCACTTAAAATTCTTGTCAATAAATCATTTAAAAGTCACCATCCTATGCTAATTTTATAATTAACTGTTATTGTATACACCTCCAAAACATAAATCCTTAATACAACAAATATGTATTATATGAGGGTCATGGGTCTAGGATTGTTTTGATTATGTCTTCTGCCTCAAGGTCTAGATTGCATTTAAGAGTGTAGTCATCTGAGGACTTGGCTGGGATTTGCGGGTATACATAAAAGATGATTCATTCACAGGGCTGGTGGTGGGAGGCCTCAGCTCCTCACCATGCAGACATCTCTGCAGAGCTGCCTGTATGACCTCACATGCTAAGCTAGCTTCTTCTGCATCTGTTGATCAGACAGAGGTCATGGGGAGACTAGGATGGAGACAATATACTCCATGGTCTCTACTGCTTTATTCTACTCAGTAGAAGAGCATCACTGAATTCTGTGCATCCTCAAGGAGGGTAGAGTTGTGTTCTACCTATTAACAAGAAAAATTTCTGGACATATTTTCTTAATAGCCACAATAACTTTCTGTTAATGCTTGGAAAGATTGGGAAAGCATTGGCAGAATAAGCATTAATCATTTGGAACACATCGGAACATCTGTTTAAGAAAAGATGCATACATACATCAATACCACCAAAGCACAATATTTTGTGGAAAAATATGAGCATCAACCACTTAGATGTTCAAAATGATCTAGTAGACTCATATTCTGAATGTGGAGGATTTTAAGACTATCCTACACAATTTATTTTGTGTATTTTGTTTGTTTTGTCTGTGTATAAGAATAATAAACTGTCAAGAATCCATTTAAATAGCTTTATAATAAATATAAAAAAATTCTATATGATGAGCAAACATCATATTGTAGTTTAATTTGGAATATTTTTATTCCTTAATGGGAAAATTGATAGCTTCTGAGATCCAGTGGAATTTGGCACCTATTGTAGATTGCATTGTTTAGTTTCAATCCCTCACCACTTCCTGCATCCATACCCCTTGCTTGTAACTTTGGCATGCCCATTGATGTACGTGGGTGACCAGCCCTGCCTCTTGGCCCTGGGTTAGAATGCTGTCATAGGTCTATTCATTTTGTTGACTCAATTTGGTCAGCAGAATGTTAGCAGGCATGAGGCAAGCAAAAGCTTGAACAAATACATGCATGTTTCCACTTGCTTCCTTGGACCTCTGTAAGAACACACCAGGACCAGTCTGTTGGAGGATGGGAGAAAAATAAAGCAGACCAAGTTGCCCTAAGGGCCCATCAAAGGTAACCTCTTGCTGACAGGAAAACCCATATATCTATTCACCTATTTACACCCAGATATGTGAGCAGTTAATGTTTATTGTTCCATGCTACTGAGGTTTTGCTATATTTCCCCTAAATTTATTTGAGTTGACTATCATTTGTGTTGAAAGAATTCTAAATGATTAGGAAGCATTGACGCTATTTTGCGGAAATAAAAGAGGAAATAGCTTCAAAATGTTACATTTCCTGTCTGGTCTCACAGGTAATAACAGGTAGAATACTACCATAAGTCTATATAATACACAGGATCATTTTGTAACTGCATTTAAAGGTTTTTAAAATTTACATAAAATAAAATCTATCCCTTTGTGCAGTTTTATGAGTTGTGACAAGTGCGTAGATTGGCCTTCCTCAAACTTCAAACCCCGGCAACCATTAAATAGTTCTCTGTTCCTAGAGTTCTGCCTTTTCGAGCTTGCCAAATAAGTGGAACCACACAGCTTTTTGTGATAGGAGAAGTATGTTGGGTTGAAACAAAATTTAAGTTCACCTAGAACCTGTGAATGTGATCTTATTTAGAAATAGCACCCCCTAGAAGTTACAAGAAAAAGTCATGCTGGATTGAGGGAGAGGGGCTAAGATCCTTACAAAAAAGAGAAATTTGAGCCAGAAGTGCTACTACATGCCTGGAATTCCAGCTCTCTGGGAGGATGTAGCAGGGAATTGGAAGTTTGAACACAACCTGAGCAATTTGACAATTTAGCAAAACATTTTCTCAAAACAATTTTTTAAAAGACCTGAGGTTGTAACTCAGTTTGAGGGCCCTGGGTTCACTCTGGGAGAGAGGGAGAGGGGGAGAGAGAGGGGGAGGGGAAGAGGAGAGGCAGGGGGAGGGTAGAGGTAGGAGCAGAGGCAGGGGCCCTGTGGTAGAGGCAGGAGGCAGGAGGCAGCGGCCAAGAATCTCCAGTAACTACAAGAAGCTAAAAGAGAAGTATGAAGCAGATCATCCCTCAGTCTCAGGTACCCAATGGACACTAGGATTTCAGATGTCTAGCTTTCCAAACTACGCAAGGATAAATCATAGTCCTTAAAAACTTACACAAGAAAACAGAAAGGTTTTAGCGTTGCTCTCAAGGTGGCATCCATGAAAGCAATGAGCTTGCCTGAGGCAATGAGATAGATGAAGATCACATCCCTTCACCTTCCAGTTTTGCTCTTTGATCAGCCAGACTGAGTTCTAGAGCCAAATTAGTAGTGGCGTTGTAAGTACTAGTATATATCACTAGCATCAAATTTGTTTCTGGTAACTAACATGGGAAGTGTGTTTTTAAAATATGATAATGCAGAAATCTGATGTTGGCTTACCATAAGCTCATTTATGAAGTCAGCTCATTCAAAACCAACTACTATGTTTCTATTCAGAAAAAACAAATTCTCATGTGTGTGTCTGTGTTTGTGTTAGTAGGAATTGAACTTAGGGTCTTTGCACTGAGCTACATCCACATCCTTTATCTTTTTTTTCCTCAGCCTCTCAGAATACTGGGGTTACAGGAGTGTGTCACCACACCTGGCTCTCATTAATATTTTTTATTATCAACCTCCAGAAGATCACAGACTCGGGAAATTATGTATAAAAATGCAATTAATTTCCAAGTAGCAGTGAAGAAAAGAAGAAAATGTACAGTAAATGTGTATTCCTTTAGAGAAGAAATAGTCTGAGGTTCATTTCAGTCTGTTGGTTGGACTTTATATACAAATAAATTAGAGTATTTTTCTTACACAAAATGTACATCGTATTATGAGACTTAAAGTGTAGAAAATATAAGAATACTCTAAAGTAAATCAGCTTTTAGTCAGGTCAATATAATGGATTTTTTTTCTTAAGAGGTATTTAAATTATGTACACATTATGTTGAGCTATGCATATTATTTCAGTTACATCAGTTAATCTAGAATGTGGTAATCATGAAAATCTGATTCTCAAACCTGACCCTATATAAAGAAACACTCCATAATATCACCCCAAAACTATTCCTTCCTTTGTCTCACACCCCACATTCTGACTTGATAAATCTGGGCTGAGACCAAGGGGAATCCTTGTATTATTTTTTCAAATTCTCTATTGGATCATGATGGGCAAGCAGGTTTGAGAACTACTAACATGGAATATAATTTTATAGAAAGGAGCTTTGATCTCCCAAAGCCTAGAAAAATTTGAGCTGAGTTCAGTTGAAGGTCAAATATCAAAAGCAAAATATCAGAAGTAACGTAACACTTTGGGTCAAGAAAAGGAAGCATGGCTCAAAAGGGAGAACTCAGGATCCAAGGTGAAGCAAGCTTCATGAAACAGGAAGGGAGATCCAAATGGCAAAGAGAATCATAATCAGAACACAGGAGAAAACAAGAAGGCGAAGCACAGGAAGACCTGAGATTCAGAATTCAGGGCTCTGCCTGGCTCCGGAATCAGGAAGGACTTTACCTGTTTCAGGCTCCTAGCTTAGATTCAGGATTTCCTGCGAATTTCTCTATTAGAGTCTCTGCTTCCTCGGGATTAAATACTAATTTTCTCAGTGCCTAGCAGCTTGCTTTAGTGTCTACCTGTAGATCGAGTGATAATAGCATCTCCATGAATTGAAGTGATTTACCAGGTGATTTTATTTCAAGGTATTAATGCCTCTGTGTGTCTGTCTCTGTATGTGTACTTTATGTAACACTGAACTATTTCAACATTTAAGTGTTGCTTAACCCGTAATATTGCTACTGGGTATTGCTAACAAGTTCATGCTATTGAATTTGTAAAGAAAACCTTCTGAAACCAAATTTAAACTTTAGGTAAATTGAAAGACAGTTGTTGCTTTTTGGGTAACAGACATTTATTTCTTTATAATTTGTTTTCATTCATAAAAAGGACAAAGCACAGTCCTATACTACTCCATTGAAAAAATGATAAAAAATAACTAAAAATTCAATATTTATCAGTATCAAATAAAACTTCTATCACCCTTCTTGAAATACAAAGAAACAACAGATGTGTCTCTAACTATATAAATTTAATTAAGAATCTTGCATTTTAGAGCATGATACGTTAGTTAGTTTGACAGTTTAAAACTGATGGTCCCAGTCAAATTGGTACAATTGTATGAGGAAATGAAAAGCTTGAGTTATTAGTGTGTGAGAAATTTTAGTCTATTTTATCTGTCACAAATTTAAATCTAAACAGCTTCCAAAGTCTGTTTTCTTCTTACCACTCAGAACCACTTCATGCAAAATCTAGCCAGTTTTGCTTTTTATTACCACATGTTAGAAAATAAAAGGCAAGCATGCATTTGGCAAAAGATGTAGTTAATGTTATTATATAAAAATGCCCAACATGGGTCACATTGCAAAGGAAAAACCCCAAAGTGTAACAACAAAAACACAAACGTTTGTACAGAAGGCTTACAGAGTATTTTTCCCCTAAAGTATGAAGTCATTTTATTTCTTTTTCAAATAATTAAATATTTTATGAAATCTGGCAAGGATCTGAAGACTGTTGACACACTTTCACTGGGAAATCATCCATTTTACTGATTTAAAAAATTTTCATTTTTATAATAAAGAGTTAAATGCAAATTAATGAGCTATTGATATTTTCATAACGAAAACTAGACATTTACACAGAGACATATAGTACAAAAATTACACAAATTAAAGATGGAGTAAAGTAGTAATAGATCTATTTTGCTTCCTGTAAATATTTTTTTATGAACCTATAAGTTATCCTTTCTAAAAAGATAAACTCTATCTCTAATTAGCCAGCAAGGCTGTGCTAATAAAATAGGATTTTACTTCCTCAAACATCAAACATTGCACTGTTTCATGAGCCAGCTAATTTTTTATTACCCAAGTTCTTTTGCATCCACACTCAGACACATTTCCGTGCACACCATGAAGAATGAAGAAATATGCATCTTCCTTTTCACAACTTATAAAAGCTCTAAGCAACAACACTTGGGAGACACCATCAGACACATTGCCTGTCTACCCTTGGCCTTCCAGGTGTGCGAACTCTGCAAAGTACCCTTAGCAAAATATCAGCATATTGATTTGGTATTTTTAGCCAGTTTTCATATGGCATTGAGTGGGAAATGAACTTAAAATCTAATTTTTTTAAAGGAATACTATAGATTTTTCAACCTACAGGTGATTTCTTGATTCTGTGCCTTCAATTTTTTAAAAAAAGATTACACTTAGGAATGAAGCATAAAAACAAAAATATCAGAATATTATTAGGTAATTCTGATATTCACTTAACTGTCATTTATTCCTAGCTGTATAAAGACTGTTTTGTCTCAGTAAAAAAATGGAAGCACTTCATCATTCCACATGTGAATAAATATAGTAAGATGATGATACTCCAGATAAGAGATAGTTTTTGAGGTTTGACACTGATGATAGCATAAAATAACTTCAGAGTAAAATACAAAAGTAAAAATACTTCTTATGGTATGTTAACTTTACCATTAGAAAACTAACTGAAAAGTGCTATATTGTGAAAATCAAATATTTAGAAAATTACTTCAAAAATAACAATACTGATAGAAGAGTTGTATAATTTGGATTTCAATTCAAAATCCTTCAACTCATTCAGTAAATTGACTTGGTAATGGAATTTATGTCAAACTATATCAGTTCTTTTTTTTTTTCAGGTAAATTCAAAATGTCATGAATGATTGGGCCATTCAAAAATATGCAGGACTCAAAACAGAGAGGATAGTACAAGAGACTGTTTTACTCTTACATTTACCACATATGATCAACATTTCAACCTCTATTATATTTCACAACTTGTTATTAAATTTAAAGCACCTGTGTATGGTGATTTACTTTCACTCTACAGCCTATAGTATTAAAGTGAACACCATAACTTGTCCCACTGGATTAAATCATGCAACTGTCACAGAATCGAGTTAAGTGGTTTATAAGGCATATTGGAACGAGTTAAAAATCATTTTAGATCCATTTAAAAGTTTATTTTTTTGGATGAAGGGGTTCCTGAATGCCTCAGTCATATTGTATTGTAAATCAGTTGAATAGTTTGTTAAAGTAAAATTTATTTGGCTTAGGATGGAGCCGTAGGAGTTGGAAGAAATCATCTTTTCAGGATGAAGGGTGGTTTCTGAGCTGGGCCGGGAGCATCAGCTGTCAGACCACATTCAGAATTCCAAGTGCAGAAGGACGGCGAGGGCAGGGAGCAGTAAGCCAGAAAGACTTGAAGACAAGGTGGACGCACCTACAAAATAAAGCAGAAGCGGGCATATCATTCTGTGGGTAATGTTACCATTCTTTTGGGGGAAGTTTCACTGTGTTGCCCTGAAAACCAAATGTTTCTTTCTACAAAACTGGTTTCTGAAGAGATTTAAGAAAAACCAAAGCGTTTGATCAAAGGTTTTCTTGTTTTGGTTTTCCCGGTACCGGAAATCAAACTCGGGACCTTGCGCTTGCCAGGCAGGTTTGGCGCCACTGAGCTTTGTCTCTGCCGAATCAAAGGCCTTTTGTGTGAGAGCACGTGGACTGTTTAAACACTGTGTTTAATGATAAAATAATGCGATCACAAATGTTTATGTTGTTCCTATGATACAGCAGTCCAAAATTCCTACCAGGAGGTGAAAGGTCAAGAAGCATATTTAAATTAGTAAAAAAAAAAAAAAGTTAGCTTTGTAAAAAGTAGGATAAAGGGCCAGGGATTTAGCTCAGTGGTGCCTCCTGCCTTGCAAATGCAAGGTCCTGAATTCGATAGCTGGTACCACAAAAAAAAAAAAAAAAAAGGATTCAGAGCCGCAATAACAATGCTCTTACCTGGATAATGACATCAAAGATGACCTGGGAACATATCTTGCACAATTTCAAATCCCAATGAGTTTAAAACATTTACATACTCAGATAATAATTAAGAAGGGCATTTCTAATAATATTAATCTTATTCAACTTTAACTTATTGACCTGAGATACTGTACCATGAAACGGAAATAATGTAGTATGCTAAGAAGTTATATGAATGTATATTACATTGTGGATCCACGCAGCATGGCTCTCGCTGTGGTCAAGCAAGTCCAAGAGCCCACCTGCTGCACTCACTGCAAATGTACAATGAATCTGGACCAAGGAGGCACCTTCCTCTTTTCCATCCTCTACACCTTTTAGAAATTAACAAATTCACACAGGAGTGAGTGCAGAGCTAAAAAGTACAGTCAACAGCTGGCAAAGATAACCGATTTTTTTTGGTCAAATTTTGGAAGTTTATTCTTTAAATTTGAAATCTTAAATATTACTATCATATTAAAAATGGCTGAAACCAGCTCCATTGCTCATAGTGTTTCTTTTATATTCAGGAATATTTAGGGCCTATCTCCTGAATATCTAGGCATTAAACTCACATTGTGTTTTTACAAGGTTGAAGATAATCTGCTGCCTTTAATACCTTCCACTGTTGCCCTGTAAGCTGCATGTAAAACTTAAAAGAAAGCTTTATTTGATACAGATAAAGTTTGTGTTAGAAATAAGCAAAATGGGGGAAGATCAAAACTTGAGGACTGAATAGTAATAGCAATTTATAAAGGGCCCTCAAACAGCTGCTTAAAGCCTCAATAATGCAAATATTGAGTAGCACTATGAATAACAATAACACTAATTTTGACTATGACAGCTGCTATTTACTGTTCCATAGTAACACAGAGACCCTGTGTTGGCCACACATACATATGCCCATTGATGCAATAGCCCACAACAGCCAGTGAATCTTCTGTAGATATTCTAATTCAGATTCAGGTAAAAGGACTTCAGGACAATCACCAGGAGAAGGCAGAGGCAAGGCTGGATCTCTAGTTTGCCCAGCTCCAAAGGGCATGCTCTTTATATCTCTCTGCCACTATCCTGCAGATAATTTTAAAGAGGGACCAATTTTGGAAATGCATAAAGCCACTGCACCCTGCACTTAATGTGTCAAGGCAAGGGAACAGAAGGAAAATAAATACTATGTGGGAAACAAATCTACCACCTAAGCTGTTTCAAAGAGAGTTTTGTATTTTTTAAACTTTTAGGTTTTTTAAAAATTTCTACTCTTTTACATATTTTTTTAAACATGCTAAAACCCACATATTATTTTATTCTGATAAGATGACCAACAACAAAACTCTGTCACACAGTAAAACACTGAGTTTTCAATGTTTCACTTAATTTAAATAATCTGTCCTGAAGATTTTTGTCTGAGGATAACTGCAGTGTCTCTACAAGGCTCTGTCTTTTGACTAGAAATTACCTCAGCAATGGGTACACATATGTGTGCTTGGCCTGGATATGTAGCTTGACACCGTCCAAACTGTGGCTATGGAAAGTTTAGTCAATTATGGATGCCATTTTGAAGTTTTGATGTTAATATGAAAACCAAACACAATTTCATAATTTGTGGCTACAACATTAGGATATTTGATTTATTTAAAATAAACTCTTGTTTATGTCTGTTATATTTAATTTCCCTAATGGCCTAAGCTGATGTAATTGTGGTCTTCATCTACAATTCTCTTTTATATTTGAAGCAAAAATTAGTGATTTGACTGAATTACTATTTAAAGTCATATAAATGTGAGACGTACGTATTCTTGAAGGGGTTCCAATGTATACTGGTTTTATACCTTAAAAATATATTACTGCTATCAAGAGTAATTTGAGCACACAGATGGTATATACTAAACATATACTTTGCTTTTCATGTATCTGTTGAATGCTAAATATAAGCAAATCGTTAATCACATGAACTAAACACCACCAATACTCATTGAGAATAATTCAAAACAATATAGGTAGGATATTCATCTTCCAACCTTGTTGAACACGTGAACCTTGCTGTTAAGGAACATGTCACAAGAAAAATATTCTGTTCAAACTTTTGGAAAAGTGTGTTCTGTGGTAATTTTGTGCAACTGAAAAGTTGTTTGAGTTACTTGCTTACTTGAGTTATTCAAGTTATATACAATCTCTGACCTTCTCAACTTTTACCTATTTTCCAACTGCTTGAGGCTAATCAAGATAAGACAAGCAAGTGATATATTTAGCTACTGAAAACTAGACACATATTTCAGTAAACCAATCAGAGCACCAGGTTCTTTGCCAAGAGTAGCCCCTGAGGTTCACTCAGTACAGGGGCAGCATCAGAATCTGCCAGCTTATCAAACTTTATTTATTTGTTCAAGAAGACTTACAGAAGTTTGTCACTTTACAAATTCAATCACTCATAAGCATTTATTCTGAGACAGTGATGGGGGGTGCTCAAGGGCTTTATTTTGGAGTTTAGCTCAACCAGTTGGGAATCTGCATCTTTCACAAGCTGTGTATCCTTTAACAGATTACTAGCATCTGTTTCTCCATTAGATCACAGTGAAGATTGTATTAGAAAGTTAATTAGTTAATTTATTTACTTAGTATATGGATCGATTTTCACACAAAGACAATTTTTTAAAAAGTTCATGCAGGGCCGGGGATTTAGCTCAGTGGTTCCACCTTCTGCCTTGCAAGCACAAGGTCCCTAGTTCGATCTCTGGTACCACAAAATAAAAATAAAAAATAAAAAGCTCATGCAGTCCAGTTTTCTTGAAGAACTTAACATTTGAGTAATTTGAAGCAAATATTTAAAATTTGCTTTGGCTACTGGGATTTTATGAAATGTATGAGATAAAACAAACTTGGAATTATTATTGGTTGATAGCTTTTTAAGGAATTTACATCTTTTTTATCCTTGTAAATTTTCTCTTGTATGATTTTTTTTCCTTCCCAGGAACACACCCCATTCTTCATCCTGCCTAAACTTCATCAATAGTGAAAATATAGCAGAGAGCTGAAATGTAAAAGTTACAAACTTGCAAATTAAAAATAAAAATTTTGACAGGGACTTTTTCTTCCTATTTCAAAGGGGTAGGGGAAGTGGGAGGGGAAGGGGAAAGGAAAGAAGGGAAAGGAAAAATTATAAGAAAAGGAAAAAAATGGAACCAAAGTCTTTGTAAATAGGGAAGGGTGGAGGGGGTGAAGCGAGGGCAGGGAATGAAGAAAAAATAAGAATCAAGATACATCATGTACAGGTACAAGTACCTAATGATAAACGTAAATGTAAACGTATTGTATACCTAAAGTGTACCAATAAAAGAATTCGAGCAAAAAAACAAAAAAAATATTGACAGGGAAAGAACATAATATAGGATTTGCAGTAAAACTCCCATGAAATTTATGTGAAAATTTTCTTTAGTCCTTATACCAAAACTGCTATTTTTATAAATGCTAAAGCTTGCTAGGAATTAAATGATTGCACAAAGAATAGACTTTATCATTTCCACCACAAAGAAAAATAATGCCCGGATGTAGCTGAGCGGTGCAGTGCCTGCCTGGCAAGCACAAAGACTTGAGTTTGATTCCTGGTACATACATACATACATACATACATACATATGAAGTTTGTGAGGTGATGGACATCTTAATTAGTTTGACTAGAGACTCCATATATAGATTAAGCCTCATATTTTATCTGATAAATATATCCAGTTATCATCTGTCAGTTAAATAAAATAGTTTAATAATTAAAGATGTCACTCTAGAAAATTAGTTGGATTTGGAAATAGCTGTCTTGGGAAGATATCCACACTGTTTTCGATTTCAAATCAACTATTATTTATATTTACACTTACTTGTTTTAAGAGTTTCTAGAAAAGAAAGCAAAAGAAAAATCAGAATATAAAATGGATTTGAACTCTTAGACACAGCAGAATTTTTCTATATTTTATGATTTAAAAAATTTTCACCTGGGATATACACATTTCATTATAGCATCTGTGTATCACCTTGTTTATTTTGATTTTGGTGATTTTATCTCCTTATATCTCTTTGAGAAAACACTAAGCTATGTTAAAAAAAAACAACTTAAGATCTACTTCTAGTTCTGTCAATATATAGCTAAATGACTCTGGGGAAAAGAGGATTATTTGGGCTCAAAACATGGTTCTGACACTGCTATGATCTTTGCTATTTTACTTCTCAAGGACGTGGATTTTTGTGCTATAAAATGGTAGGGTTCAGTATTATAAGTTCTAAGGTTCCTACTATGGCATGAGTCTATGATTCTAAGCAAACCATAATATATTGCAGAATATCAAGCATTGAGCCATAAAATTTGCTAACATATTTGTTATACTTCTCCTTATTTATGATAATCAAAGTCGATATTAGTTTATGAATATATATTAAGGGCTT